ATCGGGGCTGGTTTGAGTCTTGGTTGCTATTTCCCATCCAGCTCTGTGCTAATGGCAAGGGAAAGTGTAGAAAGATGGCTCAATACTAGGGCCCCTGCATCGGTATGGGAGACCCAGAACAAGCTTCTGGCTTGGGACTTTTGCCCAGCACAGTCCCATCCCCCAGCACTTGCATCGTTTGGAGAGGGAACCAGCAGATGGAAGATTTTGCTGTCTCGCCCCCTCTTTTCCTATAACTTTGCCATGAAACACATCTTAGTAATGGTAATAATAAGGAATTCTTACTATTTCGCATTCTGGGCAAAACCAAAAATGTCTGACTGTTCAAATTTCTGCGAGTCAAGCGGGCTTGAAATGTTATCTCACTGCGGTTTTATTTTGCATTTCTCTGATTACTAACAGCACGTATCTCTTTATGTGTTTATTGGCCATTTGTGTTTCCTGTTCTAAGAAATGCTTATTCATGCCATTTACGTTTTTTTTTTTTTTTCTTTTCTTTTCAGTGGTCTATCTTTTTCTTATTAATTAAGAAAACTTCAGCATGTATCTTGGAAATAAATTCCTTGTCACTAATATTTGATGCAAGTATTTGTACTGGCTTATCTCTTGACTCCCCATGTGTTAAGTTTAATGAGCATTGAATGTAGTGATCTTGGCCTGGAAGACCTGCTCCTTGAGGATTTTCTTTGATGAAAATTCTCTCCCCCATCCTGCCCCTGCTCCACTGTCCCCATCTCCCTGTGTCCTGGGAACACTGAGCTCCCAAAGCTGTACCAATGAAGTGGTCCGTTGAGTTTGGCCAGGGGAGCCTGGGCCACAGGGCAGGCCTGCGAGCAGGAAACCACTGAGTCAGCTGTTCAGCTCCTCAGCTTGCTCCTAGCACAGCTGCCCCAGGCTGGCTGCCTCCATTGGCAGGTCTTGGCACCTCCCAAGGGGCCCTCGCTCAGTCTCCAAAATTCAGGACACTGACCATCTCTGCAGCTTCCAGAGGGCTGTTACACCCCACACCCTATTCTTACTTTTGTAATAGTCCCTTTGATAACGAAAAGCTCCTCAAGCTACCCAAGATGAGAGTCCCATCCATTTCCCGCAAGCTCTGCCCACCCTACGTGCCATTGCATTTCCTTTTTCTTCATTATTACTTTCTCACTGGTCTTTCTACCTCCAGGGCTTCTCAGCCTTGGTGTTTGCGTGTCAAGTGGCTAGGGGTTCTGCTCTATGTGTTGTAAACAAAATGTTCATGAGCTTTGGGATGGTCATTTTCTCTCCTTACGCTTTTGTCTGATCTTGGCATGGTGGAAGTTACCTTGACAAAATGCAGTGGGATAGATTCCATTTTGTTTGTTTTCTAGAAGGTTGTAGGTGTTTGGAATCTCATCTGCTGAGCATTTGGGAAGACTCACCTGGAAAACCATCTGGATTTTGTGTGCTCCCTGAGCAAGCATCAGGAAGCATGGATTCTGTTTCTCTCAAGGTTCTAGATTTGTTCAGAGTCTGCATCTCCTTGCCTTGATTGTGGGGATTTGTGTTTGCACTGGACATGTGTTTGTGGCCTACTTAGATCGCCTGCACTGTCTGCCTTCTGCCTGCACTGCCCGTATTCACTCCCCACCTACACCACATCACCCCGATGAAATGACCCACCTGGGCCTAGGATGGGACCAGGTTGCTGTCCATGGCCAAGGGTGCAGTCCACAAACACGGGGAAGCAAATCTGAGTGGAGGAAGCCGTGACCACTGTGGAGTCAGGGAGGAGGGTAGCCTGGCATGTGTGCCCCCTCCTCTCTGATCCTCTCTCTGCACTGTTGCAATGTCTGCTCTGGTTGATTCTGTGGAGTGGTGGACAAACAGCAAATTGCGGGTGGCCATGGCTACTGGATGATCAGACTAGGCCTAAGACCAGGAGTACAAAAGTACAGGAATAGAAAACAAAAACAAGGGCTGGGAAGCAGAGGGAGTAGAACCCATACTGCCTTCTTCCTGCAGCCTCCTACTGACAGCCAAGGTCAACATATACCTCTGCCAACCCAACAGCAGGTTGAGAAAACAAGCAACAAAGGTAGGCCCCTATGGGTGCTACAGTCTGCTTGCCTCCACCATGGCTCTTCCTCCTGCTCCATCCGGCAGACACTCAGAGCACCATGGAAAGGACTGGCGGCCACATACAGCTAGCTTGGACATGCCACGTGCATGCTGAACTCCAAAGGCCAAGGGAGGATGACGTCCTGAGAAATCATGGAAGGTTTGCAAGGAGACAACACAGAGTCTGGATCGCAGCTGTATCAAGCATGAGTTGCATGTTGTCAGCCAGCTGAACTCCCTGAGTCCTCAATGCCCTATCGTAGGCACTGGCCCTCCCCGGCTTGTGGTGAGAAGTAACTGGCATGGTGCTAGAAAGGATCCAGAAGAATCCTGTACCTCACTGCAGGTTCCACATTAGGTGGTAGTTTGCTCTCCCTGCCCTCTTGGGAAGAAGCCGGAACAGTGTGAGTATTCCTTGAGGGTTGATTGTGGTAGGGCTTGGTGCCCTCTGCTGTCTGTGGCGCATCCTTTACCCTCAAAACTACTCTTAGCAGTGTGACTTGGGCTGAGAGCCAGGCTAAGTGAGACACCTTACGGAAGAGGGGTAGAGGCCCAAGAGAGCCAGAGCTTCTGCAGAACGACCCTGGCTGTCAGTGGCCTTGGCAGGAGTGTTCCCGTGGAAGGTTCTTCCATGTCCCTCCACAGTTTAGCTTTGTGGTCCACACTGGCTCTTCTCACAGAGCAGCATCCATGGCTTCAGTGGGATAAAGCAATCTACCATTAAGGTAAGCTTTGCCTGTAGAAGCAGGACCCATGTAAGTGCCCTTATGTAACTCAGGGTCTGCTGGCCTGGGTTCAGGGCACAGCTGATGTGATTCACAGCAAAACCATTTCCTCCAGCCAGGTGTACCTCAACATGCCTTTGTTTCTGCAGGAAAAGGAGAACCAGGTGAAGAATCCCAGTTTTTTTTTCCTTTAAAAACCTTGACACATCTAACAAGTTCCGTTTCTGTAACTTACAAGAGTCTCAATGGCTTTTGGCTTCTTTAGTACCAGGAGGTTGGGGAGCGTTCATTTGTGGGGCTTTAGAGATGATATTTCAGTTTTAAATTTGCATAGCTGACATAAAACCCTGATCAAGAAGTGTGTGAGGGAAAGGAGAAAGTGAGGCTTTTGGGAAAAACAGATTATTCTCAAGTCAGGGAATGCGGTGTGTTTCCTGCGCTGATGGGCTGGAGGCCTGAAACTTGCTGAAGCTCAGTAACTGCTGAGTTGAATCAGCTCAAGATTCAACCTTTTTTGCAAGTGGGGTTCCTGTTTCCTGTCGGTGTCTACAGTGCCAGTATGGTGGTGTGTGCTGTTTGCCTTCTTGTTTCCTTACTAGCTCAGCTCCCACCATCTGGGGCTTGGCAAGGTGCCACTGGCTGTGTTGTGCCACTGCAAAGTCGTGAGCACCATGCGTGTCCTGGCTGGGAGGAAAATGCCATTTTGTCCTCAGAAGGACTGGCCTTTTCCAGCCTGGGAAAATCTGTGTGTGTTTGCTCTGGCTCTACCCCCACGCCTGGAAGCATGGAAGTCATTGCTTCACCATAGCAGCCCAGCACTGCTACCAGGCCTGAGGGTTAGGTTCTTCAGCTGCCCCAGCCCAGGACCTCTACTGCAGGCACATGCGTGCCTCTTGCTTGGCTCAGGGCCTGCAATTGAAACCCAAGTGTTGACTGAAAAAGACTGGGTTTTTCACCAGCTTCTTCCTCAAGGTCTATTTCCACAGCAAGGCATATTTTTTTAGAGAACACGTTTTCTGCTGCCTTGGAGGGGAGCCTGCCGACACACTCCTGGTGGTCATCAGCGGGCAGATGGAAGTGTGGTTGCAGCAGAAGCTTCTGGGCTGCCTTGGTTACGATGACCTGTCGTGGCTGGTGAGGGGGACATCTTCCCCTCCCTGTCCTAGGTGCTCTGGCTTTCCCCTGAGCTGGCAAGTTTGATTGGTCTGTCATTTCTTCTCATGGCTGGGCAGAAAATGGGTGAAGGGTCCCTTCCCCTGTCCCCTTCCCAGGACAAGTCTTCAAACTCAGGCAGATGAGCGTGGCACCGAAGTCTCTACTTGGGATACAATATCCCACATCCAAGTGCCTTGGCTGTTCTGTTTCTGATCAAGTTCCCTACTTGTGCGCACCCTGGAAAGCAGCCCATGATGGCTCACATACTTGAGTCCCCACCACCTGCATGTGAGCCCTGGGCTGCTGACTTCAGCCAGGAGCAGCCCTGGGTGTGGAGGGTATTTGGGGTGTGAAGCAATAAGGAGGTGGGAGACCTCAACCTGCCAGCAGTCAGGTGCTCCCTCCAAAGACAGCTGTGCTCTTGTGGATGGTGCAGACACTTGTAACAATAAGACAGACAGACGCCAGCAGCAAATTAAACCTGAGTTGCTTAGTTTCGTTTTATTGGAGCATAGCATAGCATGAAATAAATATTAATTTACCAAGATTTTTAATCACTTCATAAATAAGTTAACAGACATTTCACAGAATGTCACATTAAATAAAAGTGTTCCTATATCTGTTTTACCTGGGGTGAACTCTAGGAAAATGCTTTAATGATTCTAATGTCTGGAATCTGAGAGTACTTCAATTTGTGGAAAATGGAGAGAAAGAGTAAGTTTATTTTGGTGCCAAAAAAAAAAAGTCCATGAATATATGGATTAAAAAAAAACCACTGTACACACATTTCTCTCTCGGTCTCTCTGTCTCTTTCTCTCTCTCTCTCTCTCTCTTCTCTTTTTTTTCTTTTGCACCATAGTTGGTTCTTCCAATTTCTTATTTTCCACAAAAATACAACTATCTATCTCAGAGCATGCTTCCTGCTTTTTTTGACAGGGTAGCACTGTGTTTAAAACATTCAATTTGCCTATGAAGCTTAATTACACTGAAAAGTAAGGCCCCACCCTTGACTGGCTCTTGTTACAACAAAATGCCCTTGTGCCCCTCCAAAAGCTTTGGCTACACTAAGCCAGTGTAGTCTCAGCTTTCTGTCATCCATTCCGTGTTTATCACGCCAAGAAACTCCCGCAGGTGGTCTAGGAATTGCTTCACCCTCCGTCTCTCTTCGCCACACTTCTTCTGTGGAAAGAACGGACAGTCAGTCTCATTGGAAACTGTTCCACCACGGCCAGACCAGCGTAGCTGCTGCCGAGTGTCTGCAACTTACTTTTTGTTGGTCGATGATTTTTTTAATTCGATGCAAATTTTGGAATAGTTTGTCCACAGCCTCGCCCCGCACAGTCTGATTCTTCAGTGTGTCTATGGCCCGAAAGGTTTCCTCGATGCACAGATGATGCTGAAGGAAGAGGGTTTTTAAAGGGAAACAATCAGAATGAGGAAATGATATTCAGCACTTCCGACATGCCCACAACACACACATTACAAAACATCGTGTGAGACGCAATGAACGCACACGAGGGTCCTAACATGGCTTCAGAGAAAAGAGAATTAAAGGATAGATTTATGTTGGTGGGGAAAAAACCCTTTGAAATGCATATTATAAAGTATTTTATAATATGCATTTCAATTTTTTGAAGATTCTGTGTATGCATGGATTTACAAGGTTTTTTTTTGACACCAAAATAAACTTCTCTTTTACTTCTGTTTTCTACATTTTTTTTCCTATTAAAAATGTAGGGAGAAATTTAATCCAAAAAGTGAGACTTTACTTGATTTTGTGTGTGTGTGAGTTTAAAGTTTCTGTATTCAAGGAGTGCTATACAGGTTCCTTTGCCAAATGGCAATTACCTTATACTGAGATAAAATTTTCAGAAGGATGATGAATTTTAGTGCTGAGGAATGCAGCAAACAAGGCTAAGTCATGATTTAGGCGGAAGTCAAGTGTTTAGCAAGTATAATGCAATTGCATTTCTGAGTGAACTCACCCCAGTGTTTTCTTCGGTAGTTCTAGCTGGTAATTTTATTCCACCAGACAAATGAAACCATGTATTTTACGTTTTAGCATCACTGTGACCCAATTTAAACATGCATAATGCCACTGCAAAGTCACAATCATTAAAGATGTAGAAATCATTAATACAGGCATGTACTATGTATCTTAATGTCTGCTTATCATGATTCTGGAATATAACCCTACGTTATAGCACTTTCAGAAAGGTGTCGGCGTGAGGAGTGCAGGTGCCGGTCCCTCAGAGTGGAATTCTCAGGAAGAGACCCCCCTGACACAAGACTCCATGGGATGGAGAACTGACAAGTGTTTTAGGATTCTAATTGCTTAAATGCCATTCCTCAGATAGATACAAGTATTTACATTCACATCTGCACGCATGAAACCAAAATAAAGAAAATCAAATGCTTGTGATGAAAGCAGTTTAGGATTTAGAATATGAACCACTATAACTTACGTTTTTATGGGCAGGAACAGGAATCATTAGGGTCTGAAAAGGAGAGAAAATGCAGTCATTTTCAGAGCACGCATAACTTGGGGTGTAACGCTTGCGAGCTGTTCTCTCTGCATTACAGCGTGCTCACCATGTCACTGTCTGTGCTGTATCTCCAGGCAGAGTCACTGGACCACTATGAAAGTTATTTCTGCATTTTAAAGATTATAGAAATGTTTTAAAAAGATTACCTCGTTGCCTGTCAGCAGCGTCTGATGTGTGGAGAGCAAGGACAAGGTCTCTCTGACCAGCATATTCATGGGGATTTCCATGGTCATGGCGCCCACACAGACAGCTCCAAGGGCCAGCAGGGTCCAGCACGGAGGACTTCTCATCGCTCAGAGCTGTGCAGTGCTTGCCTTCCACAAAGAAAGTGTATCGCACAAGATTGTATCCTCTACCAATTTATTGTCTGTCTTTGAGGAAATGAATAATTTCTAGCAATCAGATAGAACACGGTAATAACATTTCAGTGAAGCTAATGTTTTCCAACGGTTTACAACCTTCAAGAATAATTTTGCTTATTGTTTCAATACAAGCAAAAAATCCTATTTCATTGCCTCTTTTAAAAATATTTTCTATCATAAGAGAAAATCTATGAGTTGCTGCATTTGCCTTGATAAGCATCAGAAAGTTGAATTTCCTCTTAAAGGATGTGCGTAAGAAGGAAAAGTCGAGTATGAAACATTAAACAAGGTTTTAGGCTAAAATCCATAAATATTGGGAATGTTCCCTTAGGTTGAGTAAATTCTGCCACTGTTGTGGTACAATTGACCTATTAAAAAAATTGGGGGGACGGCGCCAGGACCCCATATGGGCACCGGTTCCTGTGCTGGCTGCTCCATTTCTGAACCAGCTCCCTACTTGTGGCCTGGGAAAACAGCGGATGACCCAAAGACTTCCATGTAGGAAATCTGGAGCGGACTTTGAATTGGCTTATCTCCAGCCTTTGTGGCCATTTGGGGAGTGAACCAGCAGGTGGAGGATCTTTCTCTATGTTCCTCTTCTCTGTAAATCTCCCTTTCAAATAGTAATAATAATTAAAAAAACACACACACACCTTAAAATAACTGAAAGCAGATACCATCTGCTTCCATCTTCCTGCTGGTCACAACACTGGCCGACTGGTTTCCCACATAAGTGGCAGGGACCCAGGTATGTGAATTAATATTGGCTGCCTTCACTTCAACAACTGCATTAGCAGCGAGGTAGAGATCACCAGGGGCCTGGACCAAGGGGTCTCAAGCAAGATGCTCTCTCCGAGCCAAGGCTGCACCCCCAAAGGCTAAGAGAGGGTTTCTTCTGGCTCCTTTTGATACCTTTGGGTTGTGCCAAGCAAGTGTGGGCTTCCAGAGAGGCTTCCAAGGAATCCTCCAACCACTGATTGTTCTAGCACCTTAAGCTGGCCGAGTTCTGGGTGTTTGTGCCTGCCTTGGGTTTTCCCAGGTCCCCCAAGTGGTGGTGTATTGAGATTGTATAGTACCAGCCTTCAGAAAACAAGCAAAGACTCACCAGCCACTTAACTGTTCTTAGGACAGTGATGCTGTTGGCTCTGCAAAGGAGAAAACCGTTCACCGCTAAACTGCAGTGTGCAGCAGGTGCTATGCTGCTCCCCCGAGCTTCTCCAGGGGATACATTGGACTTGCACTGCTAGATCACCCCATCTTCCAGAGCTGGCCAAAATCCTGCTCACTGTGTATACTCTCCCAGTGTCCAAATGTTGATGACTGTGTAGCGTAACATTGTACAACCTCTGGTTTACAACATAACTGTGGGTTCCTATGGAATATCTAATTACAAAAATTCCCACCAAAATTAGTGCTTACCATTTTAAAAGTGTTGCTGAAATACATATGCTAATATCTACCAACTTTACTTGAACAATTGGCATTGTTAAGTATAGTCATAATGTCATTCAACACCTTTTCAGAACTATTTGTGTTCCAAAACTGAAATTCGGTGACTCTGAAGCAACGCACAATACTTTCAGTCTTTCTCACAATGCCATACGGCACATAATCACACAACAACCATCTTTTTATGACTGGCTTAATTCATTTTGCATAATAATGTCTATCCTTTAAGTTCATCTAGATGGCATAGCAAGTCAAAATTTCCTTCGTTCCTCCTCCAAGTTAAATTGATATTCCGCTGCTGTAAATAATGGATTTTGTCTGTCCATTTGTCTGTTTAAAGACACTTCCATTGTTTCCAGTCTGGACTGTTGTGACTAATGCTACTGGGAAAGTCGTGCCTCGACAGTGTGTGAGTCCGGTCTTCACCATCTGATCGCAAACTCCGAGTAAGGAATAGGAAATAATACCTATTATTATTATTTTTTTTAATGTTGCCACCGTGTAATCCATGAGCCAGTGGTGAATTCTACAAGAGAAAAGAAATTATTCAGAATAACAAAACTGAAATAAAAAAACATCAAAACACACAGGATACAGCCAAACAAACAAAAAACAGCAGGGATCGGATTATTGAAGTTACACTTTCCATGCTGGTTTCCTTATATAAGAGAGAACATATGATATTTGTTCTTTTGTGATTGACTCGTTTTACTGAGCATAATGGTCTCTAGTTGGGACCACCTAGTTGTAAATAGTATAATTTCATTCTTCTTAATAGCTGAATAATATTCCATGGAGTAGATGTACCACAGGTTCTTTAACCACTCTTCTTTGGATGCACATCTGGATTGTTTCCATGTATTTGTTATTGTGGATTGTGCTGCTGCAAATATAGGATTACAGACCCCCTTCTCATATGCAGATTTCACTCCTATTGGGTATATTCCTAGGAGCAGGATAGCTGGGTCATATGGCAGGTTTATTTGCAATTCTCCAGGCACTCTCCATACTGATTTCCACAGTGGTTGTACTAGCCTACACTCCCACCAGCAGTGAAGGAGGGTGCCTTTCTCCCCACATCCACACCAGCAGGTGTTGTTACTTGAGTTCTGAATGTAGGCCAGTCTCACTGGAGTTAGATGGCACCTCAACATGGTTTTCATTCGTATCTCTCTGATGGCTAGTGAGCCTGAGCATCTTTTCATATGTCTGTTAGCCATTTGAATCTGTACTTTTGAAAAATGTCTGTTAATTTCATTTGCCCATTTTGTTACAGGGTTTTGTTTTGTTTTGTTTTGTTTGCTGTCCTTGGGTTTCTGAAGCTCTTTGTAAATCCTGGATATTAGTCCCCTATCACTTGTGTATTGTGCAAGAATTTTCTCCCATTCTGTTGGTTGCTTCTTCACTTTGTTAATTGTTCCCTTTGCTCTACAGAAGCTTTTTAGTTTGATGTAGTCAGGAAACAATATCTTTGAAAGAGTTCTATGAAGGCAAAATTTCAAACAAAAGTCAGCGACTTGTCTCAGGTGCAGAATGTCTCAGTAATTCAGGCTGATACTTCACTCGGAGGGATGGAGACAAGTGCATGGAATGAGTTCATTTTAAAGGGAGTGCTGCACAGCAAGGGAAGAAGAGCCAGAAGCTTGGCAGTGGAGAAATCAGATAAACACCTCAGCCAGGCCACATCAGCCCTGACAGTGACAAGTCGTGCTAATAGCATGCACCTTCGATGTGATAAATATGGCACACTGTCTCCATGGTCTTCCTCTCCAAAGCCTATAATCTCTAAGTGCAATAAGAACACAAAACATATCCATACAGAAGGACAGAACAGGTGACCCAAAACATCTTAAAGTCCATTTTCTATGACCAAAATGAAATACTTGAGGCTGGGTGCTTTATCTAGAGAATGAAGTTTATTAGCTCAGGGTTTTGAAAGGCCAAAAGAGCAGGGTGCCAACTTTCTGGCAATGTCACATCACGGTGGATGGCGTACTGCGAGTATGTGTGCTGGAGAGGTGAGAACATGGTGGGAGGCAGGAAGACAGAGGTCAAGAAGGGGCTGCTCTTGGACATCTATAGCAAGTTGTTCTTGCAGGAACTAGCCAGGACCCCAAGAGGACCACATTCGTCTCCTCTGAGGGTGATGTGCTTGGTGACCTAACCCCCTTGCGCCTGGATTAAAGCCCCAGCAGCTCCTGGGTCTCCACACTAGGGACTCAGATTCCCACATACAAACCCTTAAGGAATGCATGCTAAGCAAATGCAAGCCCCAGCAGCTATCAAAAACCTGCAAGGTCTGAAGAACTTGAGTGTAAAGGATGTGGTAACTGAATGAAATGTGGTATCCCATATGAGGCCAGGAGCAAAGTGAGGCTGGTAAAACTAAAGAGACAGGAAAAAGCAATCAAGTTTAGTGATGTTCTTGATTCCTTGGTTGTAATGAATATACCCCAGTAGTGATAGCAGTAGTGCAGGGGACTAGCTTCTGTGTAATCTAAAATTGCTTTGGAAGATCATTAAAAATATGTAAGGGCACGTCAAAAAGTTCATGGAAGTGGGACTAGAAGACCATTTTATTTTGGCACAAAATTTTTGAAATCAGTGCATGGCTCTTTTTTTTTTTTTAAGATTTATTTATTTTATTGGAAAGGCAGATGTACAGAGAGGAGGAGAGACAGAGAGGAAGATCTTCCATCTGATGGTTCACTCCCCAAGTGACTGCAACGGCCGGTGCTGAGCCGATCCGAAGTCAGGAGCCAGGAACTTCTTTCCAGGTCCTGCGCGGGTGCAGAGTCCAAAGGCTTTGGGCTGTCCTTGACTGCTTTCCCAGGCCACAAGCAGGGAGCTGGATGGGAAGTGGAGCCACCGGGATTAGAACCTGGCGCCCATATGGGATCCCGTTGCGTTCAAGGCAAGGACCTTAACCATTATGCTATCGCGCCGGGCCTGGCTTTTTTTTTTTTAATAACACATTTTTCTATTTACTTTTTATTTTATTTTATCTTTATTGGAAAGACAGATCTTTAGAGAGAGAGAGAGGCAGAGAGAAACCTCTTCCATTCACTCTCCAAGTGACCACAATAGCCAGAGCTGAGCTAATCCAAAGCCAGGAACCAGAAGTCAATAGCGTCCTCCAGGTCTCCCACATGGGTGCAGGGTCCTGAGGCTTTGGGCCATCCTCGATTGCTTTCCCAGGCCATAAGCAGGGAGCTGGATGGGAAGTAGAGCAGCTGGGACACGAACCAGAGCTCATATAGGATGTCAATGCTTAGAAGGGGAGCATTAACTAATTGAACCATCATGCTGGGCCCTCCATTTCCTGTGTGAAGATGGCTCACTACACTGCAAACTGAAGAGTTAATGACTGTATTTACTGTAATTATTAAATCCCTACTCTCTCATGTGCATAGGAATGCCAGGCACCTGGGACCTTTTTACTTCATCACTAGACTGTGATTTCCTTGAGAATGGACTTGGAGTTTGCATGACCCCTGAGCCCCAATAACTAGAACCTGACATGATGCAAACAGGTTTGCTAGGACTCCTGGGGGAAAAGATAGGGCAAGGGCCTAAACTATACACCCTCCCAATCCCCTCAAAACCCCCACATTATCTTAAGGGGAAAAGAAAGAAATTCGAAGTCAGCATTCTGGATTTTGAAGAATCATTGGTAGTCATGTAGCTTAGGACAATGAGAGTTATGTTAGACAAGATTATCTTGATGGGTAGCATCCATCCTTTCACCCTAACCTTTATCTCTGCTAGTGACTTGTAACTGACAACATGCTTCTAAAAACTGATAGCTGTGGTTTTTACTAACTGGGTAATAAGGTCAAATGACTTTTCCATGAAATGATTCTAATCAATCAATGGAGAATAATACACCGAATTTTTCAAGCTGACTACATGTGACCTGATAGCATCTCTTTCTTTCCATGAGTATTCTAACCTCTATGTTCTTCATCCTCAAGCATATCTTTAATATAGTTGGTTATTAAAGAAAGAAAATGATAAAAAAAAAAAAACACACTGAATTTCTTCCTCTTGGCATGGCAACTATTGGCTTGATAACATCCGGAAGTCTTCACTAATGCATTGGCAATTTTATAGAGGCACCGAATCACTGCAGTTGTATTTAGCTTCTTCGGTTATTAATATTTCTATTTAACGCTTTTATACCGTTTTCTATGTGCATTGACTGTTAGTACTAGTAGGTTAAACTGATGTACCACAGCTAACTTCATTTTGAGATTGGTCCTAGCAGTTCTCATTATTTAAAAATTTATTTATTTTTATTTGAAAGGCAGATTTACAGACAGAAGGAGAGACAGAGAGAAAGATTTTTCATCCACTGGTTCATTCCCCAAATAGCCGCAACAGCTGGAGCCGAGCTCATCAGAAGCCAGGAGACAGGAGTTTCTTCCAGGTCTCCCATGCAGGTGCAGGGACTCCAGGACTTGGGCCGTCCTCAATTACTTTCCCAAGCCATATGCAGGGAGCTGGATGGGAAATGGAACAGCCAGGACATGAAACGGCATTCATATGGGATCCCACACTCATAAGGCAAAAGTTTAGCCGTTGTGCCAGGCCCCTGATTTTTTTTTTAAGAGTAATTTATTTGACTTGAAGGTCAGAGTTAGAGAGAATGAGAGAAAGAGAGAGAATCTTTCATTCTCTGGTTTGTTTCCCAAACGGCTGCTATGGCCAGAGCTGCGCCTGTCTGAAGGTGGGAGCCAGGAGCTTCTGGGTATTCTTGGTCACAGGGGACTAAGTACTTTGCCCTTCCTCCTGTTTCTTCCCAGGATGTTAGTAGAGAGCAGATCAGAAGTGGAGAGCTAGGACATGAGCCAGTGCTTATATGGGATGCCAACGCCACATGTGGAAGCTTAATCTGCGGTCCTCTTCCGGGTCTCCCACGCGGGTGCAGGTTCCCAAAGCTTTGGGCCGTCTTCGACTGCTTTCCCGGGCCACAGGCAGGGAGCTGGAAGGGAAGCGGGGCTGCCGGGATTAGAACCGGCGTCCATATGGGATCCCGGAGCGTGCAAGGCGAGGACCTTTAACCACTTGCGCCACCGCGCCGGGCCCCCGAATTTTAAATAATGCTTCTAGAAACCTCTTGTAGAAGTTTTCGAAAATGTTATCTTTAAATTTTTTTGTTGTTGTTGTTTTCATTTATTTGAATGGTAGAGAACATGAGAGAGAGAAATTCTCTGTCGGTACATTCCCCAGGTGGCTTCCAAAGCCAGAGCTGGGCCAGGCCAACTCCATTTGGGGTTTCCTAGGTGGGTGCAGGGGCCCAAATACTTGGAATATTTTCTGCTGCTTTCCCAGGTACATTAGCAGGGAGCTGGGTCGGAACTTGAACTGGCACCCATATGAGATGCTCGTACTATAGGTGGCACCTTAATTCATTGCACCACAATGCCAGTGTGGACAGTTTTATTTTTAATTTGCTTTTTTTGGTACAGAGAAAACAAAACATTTTACTTATTTATTTTATTTTTCTAATGTCATGTATGCATCTTATGTGTGTCGATATTGGTTTCATCAATTGTAAAAACTACCACAGTAATGAGTGGGATATGCTAGTAAAAGAAATATAGAAGAAAAGGATGGATAAATGAGAAACCTCTCTGGGGAATTCTGTTAAATCCAAAGAAATGTTTTAATCGACATTTTTTAGAACTAGTAAGTTTAGCAAGTAGAGACCTTTTAAAAAATGTTCTGTTTGGGCCCGGCGCGGTGGCGCAAGTGGTTAAAGGTCCTCGCCTTGCACGCCCGGGATCCCATATGGGCGCCGGTTCTAATCCCGGCAGCCCTGCTTCCCTTCCAGCTCCCTGCCTGTGGCCTGGGAAAGCAGTCGAGGACGGCCCAAGGCTTTGGGAACCTGCACCCGCGTGGGAGACCCGGAAGAGGCTCCTGGCTTCGGATCGGCATAGTATCGGCCCGTTGCGCTCACTTGGGGAGTGAATCATCGGACGGAAGATCTTCCTCTCTGTATATCTGCCTTTCCAATGAAAAAATAATAAAAATAAATCTTAAAAAAAAATTGTTCTGTTTATGTTAGGCATTAATTATTTGATTGCAAATCTTTCATTTCAATCCTACATCTATCATCTATTATCTTAGTTTTATTATTGGTTTGTTGTTTCTTTTAAAAAATTATTTAAAAAATATAGAATATGACACTGTATCACGAATTCTTCCATATACATCCCAAAAATACTTTCATCCATAGCAAAACAGTAACATACCTACACAAACAAATGAATAGGTCATTCTTTTCATAACATCTAATTCTATCTGCTAATTTCCCTATGTATTCTCCATTTTTTCCCCAAATATACTATTTATCTATTTGAAAGACAGAGCACAAAGAGGGGAGGAGGAGACATATTCCTGCTGTTGGTTCACTTCCCCGATTGTCTCAATGGTTGGCACTGGGCCACGCTGAATCCAGGAGCCAGGAACTCCATTCTGGTAGCTCCATGGGTGGCAGGGACCCAAGAACTTTAGACATTGTGTCCTGTTTCCCAGGCGCATTAGCAGGAAGCTTGGATCAGAAGCAGTGAGTTAAACTGGTCCCCAGATGAGCTGCTGGCATCACAGGCAGCAGCTTAACCTGCTGTGCCACAACGCCAGCCTCCATTTCCACTTATATATTTTATGCAACTGAGCTCCATAGTAAATAGGAAAAAAAAATAAATCTATACCTTATTTAACTTACTACTTTAGTATCAGGGTGGATGAAAATCCAGGTATTCCTGAAGGCAATAAAAGGTCTGAAATGTAATCATCTCCCACTTATAAAGAAATGAACAATACCTGACATAATACATTGTATTCCTCTAGCCTCAGTATGAAATTCTAAAGCCATATCCTATGCAGTTTTGCTAAAAACAAACCAAACCAACTTGGATAGGAAGTGGAGCTTCTGGGACTTGAACCAGCACCCATATGGGATGCTGTTGCCATGGGTAAAAGCTTAGCTTGCTAAGCTGTGTTGCTGGCTCCTGTTTGTTCTGCTTTTAATTTGCACTTTTAGTTTGTATTTTCTGTAAATTTTCCTATAGGTCCATACGTGTGATATTCTTCCATTAAATTTGTTTCCAAGAAAGAGATATTCTCAACTACTTTTGAGACAGGTCATTTCTTTCCTTACTGATTTTTCATTTATTTATTTAAACGCAGAGTTGTAGACATAGAGCGATAGAGGAATGCCTTTCATTCACTGATTCACTCCCCAGATGGCCACAAAGGTGGGGGCTGGGCCAGGCCAAAGCAAGGAGTTTTTTCCAACTCCCAAGTACTTTGGGCCATCTTCCACTGCTTTCCAGGCATTTTAGCAGGAAGCTGGATTGGAAACAGCAGCCGGTACCCCACTGGCTGCCCACGTGGGACATGAGCTTCAAGAACTGAGCCAAAGCACAGGTCCTTCTCCTTATTTTGTCTGTTCCTTGCCCTGTATAGTGCTGCTGATTTCAGTCGATTTACAGTCTTCCTATTTCCAGGCCAGAACACTCAACTTTATTATTATTATTTTCATTTTTCAATTTATCTGAGAGGGAAAGAAAGAGTTCCTATCAACGGTTCACACCCCTGGTGCTGGTGGCCATGCTGGTCTCCTTGTTACCTGGGCCACCTCTGCTACCTTCCAGGGTCTGCAGTGGCAGGAAGCTAAAATCAGAAACCAGGCAGGAGCAGAACCTGTAATGTGACCCCTGTGTCTTCGCCTCTGACTTGTTTCCAAGTTTCTCAAAGTTTTATTATAATAACGTCCTCGGTGTGTAACAGGGAGCGTGACGAGAGAAATGCCAGGTGTTACAACTCTTGATGTTCCCGCAGAGTTTGTGTTTTTTCCTGCTACCCAGCCCCGGGAAGGAACCAGGAAGCCTGCAGGCACCTGCAGCAGCACCTGACACCAATACTCGACCGCCAGCTGAGCGGCCATGCGCGCGCCGCACGAGCCCCGACTTCCCGGCGTGCCCCGCTCGTGCGCCGGCGCGAACCGTAGGCTACGGCTGCTTGCGTCACCGCGGCGCAGCCGACGCGGGAAGCTGCGAGCTGTGGCGGTCGCGGGTCGCTCGGCCTGTGGTTCTCGTCCGCCGCGGGCTCTCCCGGCCCGGCCCCTGTCCGTGCCTTCGCCCCTGCAGGCCCGGAAGGAAGCCGGCGCGGGTCGGGAAGGGCTTCCGCCAAGGCCTCCGCCCGCCCGGCAGCTCCCGCTCCGGTTGCGGCGCCCCGGCCGGGTCTTCCGGACGCTGAGGGTCTCGGTTCCTGGCGTCGCGCCCCGACCGCGCTCCTGCGGCTTCCCGGTTAAAGTTGGGGTGAGAACCCAGGTGCTTTTCTCTGTGTAGGTTAAAGAGGCGTTTGCAAACATGTCCCGCATCGAAAAGATGAGCATTCTGGGCGTGCGGAGTTTTGGAATAGAGGATAAAGATAAGCAAATTATCAGTTTCTTCACCCCACTCACGATTTTGGTTGGCCCCAACGGGGCGGGGAAGACGGTAAGTCCTGAGTAAAGCCATGTGCAGTTTAGGGGGTCGCCTTTAGGGGGTCCCCCGGACGGCGTGTCCGTGAGTAGGAAGGAGGCATCCCCATGGCTCCGGGCGCGGAGGGCCCAGAAGGAACCCCTCACTGGCAGTGGTTTTTCCAGCCACAGCGGCCCTAGGCGTTCGGACCCCCCGGCCTCGCCAGCTCGCAGCACTCCCAGGTGCCCTGGGTTCTTTGCTCCCAAAGTGTATCGCCCACCTTCCTGGCACTTGTCCGCACTCGGGAATCCCACTTAACAGTTACAATATGTAGTAAACGCAAGACTCAGATTCTGACTGCCCAAGCACCAGCAAGTGGCTTCTTCACTGGACCTTGAAGCCGGAGCATTGGGGATGGGGGTTGGAAAACTGCGGCTGGCTTGGGGTCTGCCCTCCGCACCCTCCGCCTGCGTGGGGGTTGCAGTCTAGCCTGGAGCAGGCTCCTCTCGTTTCCGCTCACGTGGGGAGTTGTTCAATCCTGGTTATGCCCTGAGCCCTACTGGAAGGGATGCTAGAATAGCCCGATTTTTACCTCCTCCACTGTTAGCCATGTGACCCAGCTACCCAATGCCGGAGTGGCTTCATTTACGAAAGGGTAACCTGTGGTTAATGTGAGAATTCAGTCACTTATGTTAGTATGGGACTTGACACGCAGAAAGCTGTATCTGTTTGCTATTGTGAAGTTTAAGGTTCCTAATTGGAAATAGAGGTTTTTTTTCCACTAAAATTTTACTTTAAGACATCTTTTTACAGCACTAAAGTATGTGTAGCTTTTCTGTAAACTTGCAGTAATTCTTGTAAAAACCTTATTTCATTTTTATTACAGAACTATAATGCTTTATCTTCTTTTATAGTCGTATTGGCAAAATGCTTAGTAATTTTGATGCATGCCTGCAGTTCTTGTATAATTAAACACTACCATTTCTGTTCCTTTAGACTATCATTGAATGTCTAAAATATATTTGTACTGGAGACTTCCCTCCTGGAACCAAAGGAAATACGTTTGTTCATGATCCCAAGGTAATGGTGCTAGTAAAATTTTGTATGTTTTAAAATAATACTTATATAATTATAAAATGATATAATCATTACATAAAACCTGGCAATGAAAAACTGCAAACAGAGGTGAAGGTGCTGGTGCAGTGGTATAGCTGGCTAATCCTCCTATACCAGTAGCATCCCATGTGCCCCCCCAAATTTTACCACTCAAGTGAAATGAATAAATCTTAAAAATAAGTGCAATGTGGATGGCTAAAATCCTCCCCTTGCAAGCTCTGGGATCTTCTTTGGGTGCTGGTTCCTGCCCTAGCTGCTCCATTTCCCATCTAGGTCCCTGTTTGTGGCCTGGGAAGGTAGATAGATACACCTGTTTAATTGCTAATTGTTTGCTTCATCTGTTGATCGTTTAAGTAGCATCCCCCTTTTTTTTTTAAGATTTACTTATTTTTGTAAATACTTTTATTGGAAAAGCAGATTTACAGAGAGAAAGGAGAGACAGAAAGGTCTTCCATCCATTGGTTCACTCCCCAAATGGACAAAACAGCTGGAGCCAACCTGGTCCGAAGCCTAGAGCTTCGTTTGGCTCTACTACAGAGGTGCAGGATCCCATTGACTTGGGCCATCCTCCACTGCTTTCCACAAGCAAGCAGCTGGATGGGAAGTGGAACAGCCAAGACATGAACTGGTGCCCGTATAGGATGCTGGTGCTTGGAGGTGGAAGATTAACCAGTTGAGCCATTATGATGGCCCCAGTAGTATCTACTTTGATGTGATTAAAGAATACTTTGTGATTTAATGTATTTATGAATGTTCCTCTTAGAGGTGGCACTACTGTTGTTGACTTCAGAGTCTTTTCTACAGTAATTGTTTATTCCTCTTTCCTCAAACCTACAGTTAACACTTAATGATCTTGCCTTGTACTTCATTGAGAAATCAGAGGAATCAAATGTAGTTCCCCTAATTTTATAATTGTAGAACTACCAAACTACCCTACCTATGTGAGCAAATTATTCACCGCTGAGTGGAGAATTGTTGCTCTCTTTACTGAACAGCAGCCACCCTGCAGGCTGGTTCCCATTGCTCCCTCTTGTTAGAAAGGGTGTTGGCTCTTTGTCCTGTGTCGGCAGTTCATCCCTCTTACAGGAGGATATAAACGTGTTCTGATAGTTCCAATCTTCAAATAAAGTACTCTCCCATACAGCAAGTGTTGTGGTGACACCAGCATCCCTAAGAGTGCCAGTTCGAGTCCCAGCTGCTCCACTTCTGATCCAGTTCCCTACTAAGGTGCCTGGGAAAGCAGTGGAGGACAGCCCCAGTGCTTGGGCTCCTGCTGGTGTTCCAAACTCTTGGCTTCTGCATGGTCCCGCCTCAGTCACTGTGGCCATCTGGGAGTGAACCAGTGCGTGGAAGATGTCCTCTCAGTCTTTCAAATATAAGTTCCCCAAAAACCAAACTGCTTCTCCCTTTATTTCAAATCATACCTAGCTATTACTGTATCTTCTAATTTTAACAAAATTGACTCTTATTTTCTCCTCATTTTGCTCTGTTGAGATTTTTTTTCCTTGCCATTTAAACTGATCTTAGAAGGTCACCAGTAATCATAGTGATACCGGATAGAGTGGTCAGTTTCTAATTTGCATTGATTTCTCAGTAGATTTGGTGTAACTGGTTGTTTCTTTTTAAAGAAAATGCTTCCGTTGTGGGTTCTGTAAACACATCATAGTCTCAGGATTTTCTCCAGGTTGTGTGGCACCATCTTGGTCTTTACTGGTTCCATTTTGGCTTCGTTTCTGACTGTGGGCATGCTGCAAGGTGCAGGCCTCTGTGCACCTCTCTGTTCTCCTATCTCCCCTCTCGTTGGGTGGTCTCTTCCAGTCATGACTTTAAGCCCTGTTAGTGTTCTTGTGACTCCCAGAGGTGTGTATGTTTTCCTGATCTTTCCTAAGCTCTGAAGATGTGTGTCTAGCTGTTTTGGAGGATATTTAAAAGGCATCTCAAAGGCAGATCAGATTTCTGGAGAAAAGGAGAGACAGAAAAATCTTGCATCTACTGGGTTACTCCTCAAATAGCTGCAATGGCTGGAGCCGAGCTGATCTGGAGCCAGGAGCTTCTTCCGCGTCTTGCACACGGGTGCAGAGGCCCAAGGCTTTGAAAAGGCCGACCTTTACTGCGTTCCCAGGGAAAAATCAGGTATAGTTGGGAAGTAGAGCAACCCAGATACAGATCTGCGCCCATACGGGATCCCAGTGCTTGCAAGATGAGGATTTAGCTATTGGGCCATCATGCTGAGCTTAAAACATGCTTCATTTTCTGTACTGCCATCTTCCCTGATTAAGTGTACTACCAGCCTCAGAACTCTTAGAATGTAGTACATGATGCAATCATTTGCTCTAGGCAAATGAAAAAAAACTTGTGTGCCAGCATTCATTTATTCCTTCTAGCCTGTTTCCAGTTCATGAGCAATTCTGAGCTACCCTTCTAAAAGTACGTCCACTATTTGTCCTTTTCATGCTGTTGTCACTTGTCCAAACCACTGTCATCTTGCTTGGAACTATTACGGTAGTCTTCCAGCTTGTTTTTCTGCCATCTTTTTTTTTTTTTTTTTATACTGGAAAGTCAGATATACAGAGAGGAGGAAAGATAGATGGGAAGATCTTCTATCTGCTGATTCACTCCCCAAGTGACTGCAATTGCCAGAATTGAGCTGATCTGGAGCCAGGAGTCAGGAACTTCCTCCAGGTTTCCCATACAGGCGCAGGGTCCTAAGGCTTTGGACCGTCCTCAGGCCACAGGCAGGGAGCTGGAAGGGAAGCGGGGTGCTGGGCCTCAAACTGGTTCCCATATGTGCAACGTGAGGACTTTAGCTGCTAGGCAACCGGACCGGGCCCTGCCATCATTCTTGAAGAGCTCTCTCTTGCATAGCAGAGTTACTTTTTACATGTTCATTCAGAGCGAGTGAGTTGTCCAAAATCTGAGGAAAGACTCACAGTCAGTGTTAATGCTGAGTGCCAGTGTTAATCCTATGAGAAGGGAACATGCATGTGTTCAGGGAATCAGCAGAAGAAACAAAATGATGAAGGAAAGAGTTGTAGAGAATTAAGTCAAAAAGATGGAAAGGATGGAAAGGATCGCATCATCTTATACATTGAATTCTATTCTGATTTAAATAGGAGTCTTGAAAGATTTTGGGTGGGGAAAAGATGTGACATGATTTGTATTTTAAAATCAGCGAGGCCTAGCGCGATAGCCCAGTGTCACGCCACCTCCAGCAGAGCCTGCGTGAGAAATCACCAGGCCGAGGTGGAAGCTTCAAGGAAGGATGCTTCCTGGATTCGGCTGCATCTCTGGTGGTCTTGACATTCCTGACTGTACTCTTTGCTCTTATCTTTATAGCTGGAATAATACTATTTATGTGTGACAAAGGCTCAATGTTCCTTTACAGTTCTATGAAGCCTTCTGACAGGAGACTGGACAAGGATAGCAAGCAGTATGAGAAAAACTATCAAGTCACTAGCTTTAACAAACCTACCTGGGACTATTTTTGAGAATTCCTATAAAGATTATAGTAGAAATCTATAGCTTAAAAAGCCATACAGGAAGAAAAATAGGTTAATATTAAAACCAGTGTAAGGCACAAAACACAATGAGAGCTAACCGCTTAATGATTAAAACTGCAGCTGGTGCCAAACTGTCCACAAGAAATAGCAACTGCAGTCTGTCACCAGGGTGTTTGAGAACAATATTTTCTCAACAGCCCCACTTACCTCCCTGGAATAATTGTTTGTAGAAATGTAACCACATGAATAATAAAAGAAAATGTCCCTTTGCAATAATTATTGTGTATAAGCTGATGCCTTGCTTTTGCAAAATGCACTCAGATACAACTGCCTTGAGTTGTCGCGTCACTCGCCGAATCCTTGCCCACCGTTCCCGGGGTCCTATTGCCATCGGACTGATTGCTTTTAGCTGAGCCAATCCGTAGTAGCCTGGTGGCTAAATCTTCACCTTACATCTCTGGGATGCCATGTGGGCACCAGTTCGTGTCCCAGCTGCTCCAGTTCCCATCCAGCTCCTTGCTTGCCCTGGGAACGCAGTCGAGGACAGCCTTGGGACCCTGTACCCTCAGGGAGACCCGGAACAAGCTCTTGGGTCCTAGCTTCTGATCAACTCAGCCTCAGTCGTTGTGGCCACTTGGGGATTGAACCAGTGGACAGAAGATCTTTGTCTCTCCTCCTTTCTGTATATCTGATTTTCCAATAAAAAATCTTTTTTAACAATTTTTTTAATAATAGTCGATCAGCCTGACTGAGTGATGATGGTGTGCCAGTGTGGTAAGCAGTAGAAGGGCAGAGAATTAGGGAGAATTGTGATGAGCCAGCGGCTTGGTTAATGTGGTATGGTGTTGCAGGAAACCTGGTGAAATGAGTATGGATTGGTATCCTGGTGTGGCTGGCAATTTACGAGTTGTATTTCAGAAAAAGAGAAGCTGCCCACAGTGGGGAGGGGGGCTGCTGGGAAGGACCAAGCTGTTAAGGCCTTGCAGAGGATTGTTTGTCTTTTTAAAAATTTATTTAAAAGATTTACTTATTTTTATTTGAAAGTAAGATTTACAGAGAGGAGGAGAGACAGGAAGATCCCCTATCTGCTGGTTCACTTCCCTGGTGGCTGCAGCGGCCAACTGGAAAAGAGCTGATCCGGAGCCAGGAGCTTCTTCCAGGTCTCCTGCGTGGGTGCAGAATCCCAAGGCTTTGGGCCGTGTTCAGCTGCTTTCCCAGACCACAGTCAAGGAGCTGGATGGGAAGTGGAGCAGACAGGACATGAGCCAGTTTCCATATGGAATTCTGGCATGTGCAAGGCGAGGATTTATCCACTAGGCCACTGTACCTGACCCAGTATTTGCATGTTTTTAACATGTTCTCTCCAAAGAGCAAACGTAGTAGTTATACATTAGCTGCAGTGAATGTGGGGCAGTCCTCACTTTTTTGTGAATAGTGAAATCTTGTCAGCAAATATTTGTTACA